TAGATAAAGGAGAAATGAAAACACACGTCCACAAAAAGTCTTGCACACATCCTTACATCCGCTTTAGTCACAATAGGTGAAAACTGGAAGCAATCCACACGGCTGGCAACAGGTGACTGAATACACAAATTGAGGTACGTTCATACAATGGAATGCTATTCAGTAATAAAAAGAAATGATCAACTGATATTCAGAGCAACATAGTTGAACCTCACAAACATAATGTTGACTAAAATAACTACTTGATTCCATTTATGTGAACCTCTAGAACGGGCACAACTAATCTATAGCTCAGAAAGTAGACCCTTGGTTGCCTGGAGTCAAGGATGGGGAGGGGCCCGCTGTCAAAAGGGCAGGAGGAAACTTTCTGGGTGGTAGAAATGTTGTAAATCATGATTAGGGTGGTGATTATGTGGATGAATACATTTGTTATACTTACTGACCTGTACAATTCAAATGGGCAGATTTTACTGTAAGTTAAATATACCTCACTCAACTTGATTTAAAAGGAAAAAGGAAAGCTGTAGGGGGAGTGCAGCTGTACCGCAGGGAGAACAAATCCCTCATTACTGAGAGTCAGGCATGGCGGAGTGTCGGGCAGTATGTGTGTGAGATTCATTGATGTCACTGAGTAGATCACTGCTCCTTCCTTTTGATGGCTGTGTAGTATTCCCTCGTATGTTTATACTTGTTTGCTTATTCCTTCCCTATTGCTGAGCATCGGTTTCCAGTTTGGGGCAATATGAAGATATAGTCCCCAAGGCCTTTCTGGGGCCTTGTGCTCTGCTCCTTAGATGGGGCAGCTCTCCGCCTCAAGATCCACAGGGCCTGTGAGGCCACCAGCAGACCGCCCTTCTTGGAGACAGACTGACTTTTCCATCTCCCGTAACTCGCACTAGTCAGAAAAGCTAGAGCATGAATCCATGATCCTTTCTTTCCTGTCATAAAAGGTGTGAGAAGCAAGTTCTGGGGTCACCCTGAGGTCAGAGGCCATGGGATGGTCTCCCCCACTGCATTTCTGTACTCTTTCCACAGCCCGTTCTGTTTTGAAAATCCAGCACTGGGTCTTGGCCTGAGGAGCAATTGGGGTAGCATTTGCTGGGAGTGGGAAGAAAATGACTTCTAGAGCTAAAGTGGCTGAAGAGACTTTGCTGAACTGAGAAAATTGACCATATTTTCACTTGCTATTTCGGTTTCCTGCGGCACAAGTTCTTTGAAAACAATGAGAATGAAGAAACACTTCAAACTCAGTCTGTGTGTGGAAACTCCATGAATAGCTGTGCTAGCAAACCTCAAGGGGGGAAAAGCACATATTAGAACAGCGAAGGGCCTTCGAAGGAGAAATTCCTCTCCTGGTCTGCACTGAGACATCATTTTGTGGAGCGTGGGAGCCCAGTCATCATGGCCTCCCTGCAGCTTGGGGGCTGGTCAGTACACTGACCAGCGCACAGATGCAAGGACCTGTTTCTGCTATTTGCCCAGATTCAGGGACATCTTGTAATATTTTTCTTTTTAAAATTATTTATTTATTTATCTTTAGAGAGAGGGGAAGGGAGGGAGAAAGAAAGGGAGAGAGACATTGATGTGCAAGAGAAACATCGATTGGTTGCCTCTCGTGCGCCCCCCAACTGGGGACCTGGTCTACAACCCAGGCACCTGCCCTGCAGGGAATCAAACCAGTGACCTTTCAGGTTGCATGTTGCCAGTCAATCCACTGAGCCACACCTGCCAGGGCAACATTTCTTTTATTGAAGTAAAATTCACATAGCATAAAATTAACCATTTTTAAAGTGTACTATTCAGCAGCATTTAGTACATTCAACAATGTTGTGTGACCAACACCCTTATGTAGCTCCAACACATTTTCATCACCCTGAAAGGGAAGTCTACATCTATTAAGCAGTCATGTCTCACTCTTTCCTAACCTACTAATCTATTTTCTGTCTCTACGGATTTGCCTCCTCTGGACATTTCATATAAAATGGAATCATGTAATATGTGTCCTTGTACATTTGGCTGCTTTCACCTAGCATAATGCTTTTGAGGTTCACGCATGTTGTAGCATGTGCCAGTACTTTGTTCCTTTTTATGGAAGAATAATATTCCACTGTGTGGATACACCACATTTTGTTTATCCATTTATCTGTGGGTGGACATTTGTTGTTCCCGTCTTTGGGCTATTGTGAATAGTGTTGCTATAAACATTTGTGTACAAGTATTTGTTAGAACGTCTGCTTTCAATTCCTTTGGGAACATACATCAGAGTGGAATTGCCTGGGCATATGATGACACCTTGTAACATTTTATACCACACAGATTTTTATAAAGTTGGCCCACCAAAACCCTTGGTTTTTGATTTGGGCTGTATGTTGGAATCACCTGCAGAGCTTTAACAGGACCAATGCCTGGTTCCACCACTGAAGATTCTGATGTAATTGGTCAGGTGTACAGCCTGGGCATTGTGAGTTGTAAGTTGGTTAAAAGTTCTTCAGGCAGCCCTGACCAGTGCGGCTCAGTTGGTAGAATGTTGCCTGCAAAGCAAAATGTCGCCGGTTTGATTCCTGGTCAGGGCACATGCCTGGGTTTCGGGTTCGATCCCCGAGTCAGGGAATGTGCAAGAGGCAACTGATTGGTGTTTTCCTCTCACATTGATGTTTCTCTCCTTCCCTTCCCCTCTCTTTAAAAATAAACAAATAAAATCTTCTGAAAAAAAGTTCCTCAGGTGGCTCTCACGTACAACCCATGTAGAAAACTATTCTAGACACCTCCTTGCAGTCTACTTGTAGTAATAACGTCAATATTCTGATACGCAGTGTCTTGCTTTCTACACTGGGGCAGATTTCCACATGGCCCTTGAAAGACCAGTCCCTTTGTGAGATTTACTCCTGTGACAACAGTGGTTCATGGAGCCTATTCTTAGCTTTGCTCAATGCTTTCACAGCTGTTGCAAGCATTCCAACTCATCTGTTTCACATAATTGTCCACCTGTTACAGGTGAGGAAACTGAGATGCAGGAAGGTTGTCTGAGGTGAAAAACAAAAAACAGAAACAAAAGCAGTCTGAGAGCAGGGATGAAAGGCACTGTCATGGGAGTTTGTGAGAGAACTAGAGCGAGAGGCCACACCCTCAGGATGAGTGTTTCTAGACTGAATGCTCTGGAAAGCCCCACAAGTGAATCCTGGAGCTATGACAGCAGCTGGCTGAGTCAGGGCCAGTCCTGCTGGGTTTCGCATCTTCCCTTTTGTCCCTCAGACTGGAAATGAAAGCACTGAACAGCCTTTTCAGATTTTCATATGGATCCTTTCCAAAAATGCCGGTGTGAGAACGGGAATTGCTAAGAACTGCCAATGTTTGACCTTCTCTTCTCACAACTGTGATCTTTATTTTGATTTGGTAAATGTTTTTCTGGCCAAAGTATTCCCATGGAACTCAGCTCTGGACGGCCAAGATTTGTTTTTGGAATGATCACTGCTGATTCTAGGAGAGGCCACTTTTCATTTGGATTTAGAAAAATTAGGGATGGCCTAAACAATTTGGAATTCAATTTTCTCTATTTCCCGGCAATGAATGGTAAGGAGCTTCCTTTCAGTTGAGGGGCACTGTGTGGTCCCAAATTTCAGTTGTTTTCTCTTTCAAGGTGAAAGGTTCACAACTCCTCAGGGAAAGGGGGAGGGGCCAGAAGAAGGACACGAATTCTCTTACAGTGTTGGCAATCTCTGTCACTCCAGAGATTAAGAGAAACTGCCTTACTCAGGATGTTGCTCAGGAATCTGGTTGCAAACCATAGAATCCACTGTAGGTCACTGAGGCTGAGAAGGGGTTTATTCAAGCATGTTAGGTGTTCCCAAGCTTCCTGGTTGGAGACCTGCTGCCTAGAGCAATGCCTAAACCAGGTAGTGGGGCAGTTCTAGCAGGGACCCTGCAGCCACGACCACTGGCAACACACCTGGCAGCTCACAGAAATCATGCTGGGTGCTGGGTGCTGGGTGTCAGAAATTTCATCATGGGAGCCTCAAAACCAGGCGCCTGTGCCACCATCCTGGCCAGAAAATGGTTACTGACTGACGACTACTTCTGAATCCAAGTCTTGCTGGGTGTGTGTGATCCACTAAGCTAGGTCACATGCTTGCGCCCTAGCTGCAAGGGCAGTTGGGAAAGAGTTTCTGGTTTCAACCTGGAAGAGGCAGGATTTACAAGATGGGAAATTCCCTAAGTGTAGAACGAGTGCTTAAAAGGTGCTGGAGAGCCAGAAGCCATGTCGAATATCCACTATTATCAGGCATGGTTTTGTTGCAAAGAATAGAAATCTACTCGTCCACGCAGATGGTTTGAGTGGGTTTCTGAAATGAAAACAGGGATATGTCACAGAAACAGCTATAGCAGGGCCTTATGGGAAGTACAGAGCTGGCCAGCAGCTTCTCATTCTCCCTGACCTCCAGCTTTGTCTTTCTCATGTTGGTTCTAGTCTCTCTGCACAGCAGCTTCCTCAGCTTGTCCGTGTGTAATATGGGAGCCCCAAACTGGGGAGCTGCTTAAGTGCTCATGATGTTCCGGAAAAAGCCCTCCGGAGGACCAGCATTATGTGGACATGCTGTTTATTACGTTACAGGGGAGTGTAGCGACGGCGGTGGGCCTGTGTGAGAGAGACTGCATCTCCTCCAGTCTGAGGCTTGTTATAGGGGGGCCTAGACAAAGGAGGCATGTGTCCTATGTGTGGCTCTAAACTACGTTACCTCTGTGCACGTGCAGAAAGAAAGGTCAAGAAGCAGTCACAGGACAAGAAGCTGCTCCCAAAAGGAGATAAGGAGGGAGTTACAATCCATTCCCAAAACAATACACACTCCTTCTGGCCAGTGGCTGTCTGACCAGCCCTCAGTCATGGGAGGGGGAAGGGCCATGTCCATTGACCCCACACCTTGGCTGCTTCTTTCCTATAGCTTTGACCTGTACATGGCTTTGTTACAAACCCCAGCCCTGAAGCCATACAGGTTGATTCCCACATGATTTCACTGTCTGTTCCATGTTCATAGGGAAGGAATGAATCTGACTCTCCTTGGGCCAAATGTTCACCGTCGGCCCAAATAGCTGTGTCTGGGAGGGGGCAGTAGAGACACGTAGGGCTCTGGGTGAGGTGTTTTTTTCTTAGAGGTGGTGGTTGGCAACAGCTGTTGTCCAACCATGGAAAAATGAGAGCCAGAAGGTCCCCTAAAGGTCAGGAAGTACAGGTCAAAGAAGTGGAAGCTCAGAAAGGCTAGGTATTTCGGGTAGGGAGTGCTACAGTACAGTGGAAAGACACAGAACAACGGTTGGTGTTGACTAACCACGCTGAACCTCAGTTTCCTCTTTTGTGAGAAGAGAATAATACCTTGCAGGACTGTCATCTTCAATGAAATAATTATGTAGCAAGGTTAGCCCTGAGCAAACACTAATTAAAAGTTGGTTTGTGTAAGAGCAAAAGAAACCCATAAAATTTAATTTGAGTAGCATTATACAGCTCATATCACTCAGATAAATTCCTAAACTACGTCCTGTAGCTATCTGCTGTCTTTTGTGTTGGAGTCCATCTGAAGGCCTTGTTCTGTTGAGCTCCCAGAGCCACTACCAGCAGCTCTGTTCTAGGACTGCATATAAATGCATTCACACAGTGTGTATTCTTTTGTGTCAAGTTTCTTTGCTCAACATAACTTGTTTGTTGTTTGTTCTTTTTTGTTGCTGAGTAGTATTCTGCTATATAAATATATTGTAATTTGCTTTTCCACTATACCGTTCGGTAATTTCCAGTTTTTATCTATCATAATAAGCCACTATGAACATTCTTGTACAGTCTTTATGCAAGCTTTTTTTTTTTTTCCATTTCTCTTGGGTAAATACCTAGGAGTGGAATTGCTGAGTCATAGGAAAGGCATATGTTTAACTTTAATAGACACTGCCGAAGTTTTCCAAAGTTCTTGAACTATTTTCCACTCCCACAAACAATGTTAGAGAATCCAGTTGTTCTATATCTTTACCAATACTTGGGGTTGTCAGTCTTTTGAATTTTAGTTATTCCAGTGGGTGTGCAGGGAAATTTCATTGTAACTTTAAGTGCATTTGCCTAATGGCTAATGATGTTGAGCACCTTTCCATGTGCTTAATGGCTACTTAATATGTTCTTTTGCAAAGTGTTTGAGTCTTTTACCCATTTTTATGTAGTTGTTTGTCTTTCATCATTCATTTGTAGATGTTTTATATTCTGTACATAAGCCACATATAAAGTACTCCTTTCCTTAATAGTATCTTTTTTTAAAAAAACACCATTATTGAACCCTGGCCAACGTGGCTTAGTTGGGTGGGTGTCACCCCACAAAGCAAAGGTTCGTCTGATTCCCAGTCAGGGCACATGCCTAGGGTGCAGGTTTGGTCCGTGGTAGGAGTGTGTGCAAGAGGCAACCGATTGATGTTTTTCTCTTATACCAACAATTCTCTTCCTCTCTCCCTCCCTTCCCTCCTCTCTCTCTAAAAAAAGAATACTAGCTTTATTGAGGTATGATTTGACATATAACAAACTGAACACATTTAAAGTGCACCCTCATGAAACCATCAGCACAATCACAATAAATATATTCGCCACTCCCAAGTGAAACACTTGCCCCTTTATATTCATGCCCTTTTATAATCCTTCTCTCCTGCCCTCCCCTGCCTCCCCAACCATCCCCAGGCAACCACTGATCTTTCTGTTACTATAGACTAATTTTCAGTTCCTAGAATTTTATGTAAGTGAAATCATATAGTATGTACTTCACCTGGTTTCTTTCACTCAGCAGAATTATCTTGAGATTCATCCATTTTGCATGTATCAATAGTTCATTCCTTTTTTTATCACTGAGTAGTATTCCATTGTCTGGGTAAGCATAATTTGTTTACCTATTAAACTCTTAATAGGTGTTTGTGTTGTTTCCAATTTTGAGTTATTATGAATAAAGCTGCTGTGAATATTCATGCCAAGTCTTTTGTGTGGACATATGCTTTTATTTCTCTAGGAGTAGATGGATGGATCATAAGGTAGGTATACCTTTAACTTTTAAAGAAACTGCAGCATTGTTTCCTAGTGGTAGTACCATTTTACATTCCCAGCAGCAGTGCAGTAAGAAAGCCCCAGTTGTCCAATATGCTCTCCAACACCCGGTATGGTCAGTCTTTCTAATTTTAATAGGTGGCTATTTTATTTTGCATTTCCCTAACAACTAATGATGTTGACCATCTTTTCATGTATTTATTTACTTTTTGTATATCTTTTTTGGTAAAGTGTTTCTTCAAACATTTTGCCTATTTATTAATTGGGTTGCCTATTATCTTATTGAATTGCTTTTAAAATATTTATTAAATTTATTGGGGGGACTTTGGTTAATTAGATTATATAAGTTTCGAGTATACAATTCTATGTCATCTGTATATTGTATTGTGTTGTGTGCTCACCACCCAAAGTCAAGTTTCCTTCTGTCACCATTATTGTTTTAAGGATTCTTTATATATTTTGGATACAAATCCTTTATGAGATATATACAGAGGAAATATACAGATATTTTCTCCCAGTCGGTGCCCCCTCTTTTTGTTCTCTCTTTTTTTTCTTTTTATCATCACCCGAGGACATTTTTTTTTTCATTCGAGAGAGAGAGAAAGGAAGGGAGAGAGCAAAGGAGAGAAAGAAACATCAATGCGAGAGAGAAACACTGATTGGTTGCCCCTGGTACTCACCCGGACCAGGTATCCAACCTGCAAACCAGGATGCACCCTGACCAGGAATCGAACCCACAACCTTTCAGTTGTGGGATGATGCTCCAACCAACTGAGCAACACTGGCCAGGGCTCTTTTTGTTCTCTTAACAGTGTCTTTCAAAAGAGCAGAAGTTTTTAATTTTGATGAAGTCTAATTTATTACTTTTTCTTTCATGGTTGGTGTTTTATATTGTCCTAAGAAATCTTTGCATACCAGTAGGTCACAAAGATATTCTCCCATGTTATCTTCAAGGAGATTTATAGCTTTAGCTTTTACATTTAGGTTTTTATGGTCCATCTAAAAAGTGTTCTTGTGTATGATATGAAGTAAGTGTGTCAAGATCCTTCTTTTTTTTTTATTTTTTAGGGATTGCAATATGCATCTTTAATTTACCACGATTTACCTTGATTTAATCTTATACTGTTTCATGAATAATGTAAGATCCTTACAAAAGTCCAGTTCAGTTTACCTCCCTTCTCATCCTTTATGCTATTGTCATATTTTTTCACTTATATATATTATAAACTCCACAATACAGTATTATTTTTGCTTTAAACAATAACTTGTCTATTAAGCAATTAAGGTGAGAGGAATAGTCTTTTCTATTTAGTGACGTATTTACCATTTCCATTGCTCTTCATTCCTTCCTGTAGATCTGATTTTCATTTTAGATTTTCATCTAGTATCATTTTCCCTCAGGCGAAAGAATGTCTTCATTTCTTGTGCAAGAGATCTGCTGGAGATGAATTTTCTTAAGTTTTGTTAACTTGGAAGTATTTCTATTTTACTTCATTTGTGAAGGTATTTTCATTGGCTATAAAATTCTAGGTTGTGCTTTTCTTTCAGCACTTTAAAAGATACACCAGAAATTTTATTTTCTTATGGCCTCTATTGTTTCTGATAAGAAGTCCATCATCATTTTTATTGTTGTTTACTATATGTAATGTGTCTTTTTTCTTTGGATGCTTTAAAAATTTTTCTCTTTATGTGGTTTTCAGTAGTTTGATGTGCCTAGGGCCTATGTGTGTGTGTGAGTGTGTGTGTGTATGATGTTAGTTGGGGTTTGCTGAGCTTATTTTACATAACATTTTGGAAATTGTCTTCAATTATTTTTCTGCCACATTCTTTCTCTTCTCTCCTCTGGGACTCCAAACACATGCGTGCAAATCTAATTGCTCAATATTATCCCACAGGTCATTAAAGCCCTGATGATATTTTTTCCAATCTTTTTTCTCTCTGTGCTTCATTTTGGGTAATTTCTATTGTCCTCTCTTCAAGTTCATGAATCTTTCCTTCTGCTGCATCTAATCTGCTGTTTTTCTTATTCAATGATTTTTTTTAAAAAAACATTTCAGATATTCTATTATTTTAGTTCTAAGAACTGGGTTCATTTTTAGAGTTTCCATACCTCTTCTAAAATTCAAATTCTCATGCCTTCATCCATTATATGTATTTTTCCTATAAATTCCTTAACATACTTATAATAAATCCTCTTTTTTTTTTTTGGTAATATCAACATCTGGGCTGTCTCTGGGTTTGCTCCTGTTAACTTTTCTTTTTCCTGTTTGATAAGTATCAAATTTTGCTGCTTCTTCACATATCTAGTATTATTTGACTGCATACTGGATATCATAGGTGGTAGTTATAAAAACTCTAGATTCTCTTCTCTTCCTTTGAAGAGGATTGAATTTTGTTCTGGCATTTAGTTACATTACTGGCAGATCACTTTGATGTTAGAAGGCTTGGTTTTAGGCTTTGTTAGGATAGGCCTAATTTAGTTTTGCCCTTTGTCCAGGGAAAAGGTCTTCACTCCGAAGGTATGACCCTCTCAGGTTTCAGTTGAAAGCTCCAGATATTTGTATAAGCTCTTCTAACCGCATGGACTTTGAACTCTTAATCTATCTCCCATTACTAGCAAGTTACTGGAATCTGTTTAGCTCTTTTAGCCTTCAGTTCTTGGGTCCTTGGAGTCACCCCACACACGTGATATGCACTTAAGGACTCCAAACAGGGGAGACTGTGTGCCAATTTTGTGGCTCCCTCTTTTCCATGTTCTCCCTCCTCAATTTGTGGCATTGAGCACTCAGCCACTGTGGCAGCTGAGTACTCCGACCTTTAACTTGTCAACCCAATAAGACTTGCTTTCTCTTTTAGCTCTGTTCCCTGTGTGCAGTGTAGACTTGAAAATGCCCTGAGAGGAAACACCAGTTAAATGTGGCTCTCACCTAGTTTGTTTTTCTTCTTTTAAGTGTTGTATCTACTCTGATTGCCTGTTTAGGTTGCTTTCCAGTGCCTGCAAACAATTTTTTAAAAATATATTTTTTCTCTACAGTTTACACTAGCTATTGGCAGGAATATTAGTCTAATACAAACTACTCAGTCATATATTGCAAGCAAAACTCACCCAAAAATGTTATTATTATTTTAAAAAATTTTGTTTTGCTGCCCTCATCTCTGGGTTATTAGGCATGAAGTTAGTCTTCGTATTAGGTAAGCCAATACTGAAGTTTGGTTGTCTGTTCTGAGGTTTACTTGATTTAATTTAAATTTTACTAAATAGCCCTGACAGATGTGGCTGCATTGGTTGGATGTCACTTCACAAAGCAAAATGTTGCCCCTTTGATTCCCCATCAGGGCACATGCCTGGGTTACAGGTTCCATCCCCGGTTGGGGCGTGTGCAAGAGGCAACCAATGATGTTTCCTTCTTGCACTGATGTTTCTCTCCCTTTCTCCAGCATCGCCCTTTCTTTAAAAATAAATAAATAAATAAAATCTTTAAAAAATAAATTTCACTAAATAATCCAGTAAACTGGTTAATCCTAATGGCTATCAAAGTTTCAGAGGCTGAAAATGGGTTTCTAATAGTGACATGTTGAGTTTTTAAAGAGTTAACTTTACTTTCTGAAATAGGCATTACATTGACATGGTTCAAACTTTAAAATGTAAAAAGGATACATAATAAAAAACTTCATTCCTCTTACATGTTTAGAAAAATTAGCAGCTACATTTTTGATCTCTTACATTGTACAAGCAAATTGATTGTATCCTTTATGTCATAATTCCATGGATTCCTTGACAAAGAGGTAGTTTTTGTTTGTTTGTTTGTTTTTTAATAAATGACATCCTCCTTCAGGAATCGTTACAGAGGAAGGCATCAATTCCATTTAATTCTGTAAATGTTTACCGAGCCATACTGCGTGCCTGGAACAGTGTTGGCTATTGTGGAGCAGAAACATGAGTCATATGGTTGAGAGTGCACTCCTGTTAATTAGAAAGGAGAAGAGAGTAGAATTAAGGGCTATTTGTAGAGAAATCTGATGCCTCTACTTGACCTAGTTGGAAGAGTTGATAGAAAAAAGCTCCGCATAAGCCCAGCTGACACCTGGACTTAAGGTTATATTCTTGGCCCTGTCTCTCAAGCTGGTATCTCTCCAGGTCAGCAGCTGCCCCGCTTTCAGCCAAGCTCAGCACAGGGTCCAAGAACCTTGCTGTAAACTTGGTGTCTAGTTCACATTTCTTAGGGACAGGGAAAAGCTAAGTCAAGCCTCTACAACAAGAATATTGAACTAACTACAATTTACAACTGAAGGGTTGTTCAAAGGCCTGAGTACTCTCCCGCCATCTTTGGAAGGACTAAATCCCCTTCTCAGCAGCTGAAAAAACATGGTGTGTGCACAACTGGTGTACTGAAAAGATACTAGAAGGTGACCAAACATACAGATGCGGCAGCAAGCAGTCTGCACTCTCGTTGTGTGGCCACACCTTCAGATTCCCACAAGGGCTTGGATAGGCAAGGCAGGGTCACGTGTACACCATGGGAGGGGAATGAAATGGTAGGCGGGTAGTGTTAGCTAGGAATTTGGGAGTACTGCTGACGAGGCTCAGATCACATGCATTCTACCTGTGACCTGCTCCTGCCTGGAAAATAAAACTTGTGCATCTTCCAGGTTGCCTTTTCCACTGGAACTTAGGCTGGGCCTTGGGACCTCTGGCTTCCACAGGGAAGCAGACCATGCCATTTTGCTTTGCTGCAGGTGGTAAGCCTACTTGGAGGGCTTTTGAAGTCTTTGTATAATCTTCCATTCAAATGCTCAGAAAAAATTAATTTATAAGCATCATTTTTTTTCCCCACGATGATGTAGAAAAGCCGCTAGAGAGCAAGGGCTGGTGAATGGAAATTAACTGCACAGTGTCCACAATCATTCTTTTGAGATGTGAAAGAAGGTCATTGCTGTTTTATTTAGTATGCTGTCCTTCTGGCTTAATTTTAGTGACTGTTAAAGAAAAACTAAGATTGACAGGCTTTTGTTTCACTTCCAACCTCCTATTCTCTAATTCTCCCTTCTTCATGAGGCTTTATTTACTCCATGAGGGTTTTTAGGCATTGAATTCTTATGGTGGGAGGGACTACTAGCGTAGCACTCATAGAAATATGGTGCAAGCCACATATGTTTTTATTTCCAAGTAGCCCCATTAAAAAGGTAAAATGAAACAGTTGACATTAATTTAAATATTTTAGTTAACCAATTATATCTAAAATATAATTTTAACATGTAATCAATATAAAAATTGATGAGATATTTTACCTTTTTTGGTATTAAGTCTAAGATATGGTCTGTATTTTACACTTACAGCTCATCTCAATTCGGGCTAGCCACATTTCAAGTGCTTGAGAGCCACTTGTGGCTAGATTGGGCAGTGTAGGCCTAGCGTGTGAGCCACAGTGATGCCTTTGAGGACTCCTACACATGCAGACAACACACTCTCTAGGTCAAATTCTAGGAGCACAAATGATGATATAGGCAGGAGGGGATTTAGAATGGGATCAGTTGCGTTCTCATGATTAAGATAACTGGGACTCAAGGGGGTGGGGAATCCTGTGTAAGGTTTAGGAGGCCGAAAGAGACCATTTGGAAGATGCTGCTTATGCAGAAGGTATGAGAATCTTGGTGGAGGGCCGCATCCAGCCATGCAGACAGGTAGTATTTTACCTTCAGTGATCCTCTGGTTGATGGTCTCTCCTTCTTTTGTCTTTTCTCCCCTTTCCTAAACCCTGCCCAAGTGGTGGTCCTCACCCTGCCCAGCGCCTGGGCCGAGAAGGCCTGCAAGCGCACCTGCCCGGAGTCTTGCTCCTGCAACAGCGTGGAGCGCGGCTGCTCTGTGCGCTGTGACCGTGCTGGCCTCCTGCGGGTCCCGGCCGAGTTCCCGTGCGAGGCGGCCTCCATCGACCTGGACCGGAACTGCCTGCGCTTCTTGGGCGAGCGGGCCTTTGGCACGTTGCCGTCGCTGCGCCGCCTGTCTCTACGCCACAACAATTTGTCCTTCATCACGCCTGGCGCCTTCAAGGGCCTGCCGCGCCTGGCGGAGTTGCGCCTAGCTCACAATGGCGACCTACGCTATCTGCATGCGCGCACCTTCACCGCGCTGGGCCGCCTGCGCCGCCTCGACCTGACAGCCTGCCGCCTCTTTAGCGTCCCCGAGCGCCTCCTGGCTGAGCTTCCCGCCCTGCGCGAGCTCGCTGCCTTCGACAACCTGTTCCGCCGCGTACCCGGCGCGCTGCGCGGTTTGGCCAACCTGACGCACGCGCACCTAGAGCGCAGCCGCATTGAGGCGGTGGCCTCCAGCTCCCTGGAAGGTCTGTGGCGCTTGCGCTCGCTCAGCCTGCAGGCCAACCGAGTCCGCACGGTGCACGCCGGAGCCTTTCGCGACTGCGGTGCCCTGGAGCACCTACTGCTCAATGACAACCTGCTGGCCGATCTGCCCGCTGATGCCTTCCGCGGCCTGCGCCACCTGCGCACACTCAACCTGGGTGGAAATTCCCTGGGCCGCGTGGCGCGCACCTGGTTCGCCAATCTGGCCGAGCTCGAGCTGCTCTACTTGGATCGCAACAGCATCACTTTCGTAGAGGAGGGTGCCTTCCAGAACCTTTCGGGCCTCCTCGCTCTGCACCTCAATGGCAACCACCTCACCGTGCTCACCTGGGCCCCTTTCCAGCCAAGCTTCTTCCTGGGCCGCTTCTTTCTTTTCCGCAACCCGTGGCGCTGTGACTGCAGCCTGGAGTGGCTGCGGGACTGGATGGAGAGCTCTGGGCATGTCACCGATGTGCCTTGCGCCTCTCCGGGCTCCGTGGCCGGCCTGGACCTCAGCCAGGTGGCCTTTGGGCGCTCCTCCGATGGCCTCTGTGTGGACCCTGAGGATCTGAACCTTACCGCGTCCAGCCCAGGCCCACTCCCAGAGCCAGTTGCTACCACTGTGAGCAGGTTCAGCAGCCTCCTCTCCAAGCTGCTGGCCCCGAGGGCCCCAGTGGAGGAGGCGGCCAACACCACCACAGCGCCAGTCAATGCCTCGCTGTCTGATATCCTTCCCTCGGGCAGGGTGAGAGGCTTAGGCCATAGCACCCTGTTTCTCCTTGGCTCTAGTCTCCTGCTCAGCCTGGCCCAGCATGTGATGTTTATCCTGCAGGCGTACTGACCCTGCCACACTGGGGTGGCCCAGACTGCCTTGGCCAGTGGGGAATAATTTACTTAATTGGGCTTGGAGGTGTTCGTGGTCGGGAAAGAGGGAAACAGGATGGAACAGGTGGTAAAGTTCCAGCGGAATATGGAAGGAACAGTTTGCCTCCAGAGATGGCCCTAGGGAGAGGACAGTCCTGGAAAATGTCATGCAGGGGGTGGGGTATGGATTTTTGCTTATGTCACATAAGCATCAATTGGAAACGAGGAGCCGGGGAACAGGGACCCTCCTACCAGAAGGCTAGGAATTGGAAGCTCCTAGGGCTTCACGGCTCCACCTCCACCCCTCCCCCACCCCCCATCTTCCAGGAAACAGGGACTGCAATGTCTGAGTCAGTCTGTTGGCTAAGTATTAAGAACTGTGTTCATTCTCCTGGTGGGGCAACCCATTAGATCCAATCTCTTTGTTTTCTACCGCAATCCTCTTCCCCCTGGGCCTGGGGACACTAGGGTCCAGGAAAGTGGAAAGGACAGGAGAGAAGGGGGACGGGAGAGGGACTTAGACCTAAGGGTGGTGGCAGTTCTTGGAGTGTGAGATATGTTAAGGGGTGGTTAAAACAAAGATCCATTTCATTTACTCCGCAATTATTCCCAGAGGTGACTTTAGACAGAAAGAAACTTTAGGGAAGGGTAGGAAAAAAAGGAAGGGGAAATATCTGTGGACAAATAAATTTGTAAAATTCTAAGATTAAAAAAAAGTGAACAGGTTTTTCTACTGTAGGACTTTTCAGAGTCTTTCACATGCAGACATGCACTGTGAATTTCTGAGGAGACCACAAAGTCTTTTTTTTCTTAGTGTTTTGTGTGAAGAGTGTCCAGAAGACACAGAAATGCTATGTTAGCAGGACAGGGAGTCTCCAGCTTGGATGATGCTATTAGCTGTGGAAATTATTATGGGTTGCACACTTTGGGGCTGACTAACTGCCAAGAGGAAAGGAGGCAGCAAGTAGCTGGGGAGGGAGGCTGAGCTATTTCCCAGGGAGGGAGTTGGCCAACTGTTAGAGCAAAGGCTGTATGTCTGCTAAACACTTGTTCAAGCTGTTCTCCATACACGGGTAACGATGGCTGCATTTGTCAACATTCTGGAAATCTGTAATCTTAATGTCCTGAGTTCTTCTCTGTGTATTTGAAGAGGTGGGTTTTCTTCGTTCTTTTTCTTTTAAACTTGAAAGAAGTTTTGCTAAGATATCACCCATATAAATGAGAAGATTTCATAGATATTTTACAAAGGGAAGCACCTATTACAACTTCCTATAGTTGCCCAACAAACGGATGCTCAAAACTGCATAGACAATTATGACTATACCCTACTAAAGTATGTATGTGCATATATACATTTATATATATTTTTGAGATCTGTAAATATGCTAGCCCAAGAAACAGGAAGTGTAATAAGGATTGCATAAAGAAACTCAAGGTCCATTTCTTTCATCCAACTTTTCCTTACGAAAACTTTAAAAAATTACTATAGATGTGACTTCTGTGTACTCCCTAACTTCATTTTTATGCCAATGGAAAATATATTTCCTACTGTTGTTATAAAAACAGTTGGGTTTTCAAAGCCCACAAAATTCAAGGTGCATTGAGTTGTCAGTTCGTCATGGTGACAGTACTTCTTTTGTATTTCTAGGTAATATTAAATATTAGAAATGTTGCAGAAAGCACCATTGAGAACAGGTGTGTTCAAATAGGTTGTGACCGTTAGTGGTCATTAAGTCAATATAATGAGTCATAACCAGCATTTACAAAGACAAGATAGAACGCAAAATATAGGAGTATTGTTTTGTGAAACTTTTTATCTAATTTGTATGCCTTTGTTCAGATTATATATGTATGTGTCTGGATTGCTTAATACAATCTCTATTTTATTGCGGGTTAGCATTAAAAAAGTTTGAAAGTCACTAATCTGGAGCATGTATGATTTTTAAAAAATCTTTTTATTTTGAAAAATCTCAAGCCTACAGAAATGTTTCAATAGTAGAATGAACACTTTGGCCATTCACCTAGGTTTTCCAGTTGTTAACATTTTACTATTATATTTGATTTTTCTCCTCAGATCATTATTATTTCTAACGTTTTGAGTTTATTGCAAACATCATGACCCTTTACCCCTAAATACCTCAGGGTGTATTTCCTAAGAACAAGGGCATTCTCTTAGCCACAATACCATTATTTCAGAATCAGGAACTTTCTCATCACTATGACACTATTATTTAAACTATACTCTATATGGAAACTTCAACAGCTGTCTAAATGATTTTTTAAGCAGTCATTCTTTTTCCTGTGGGTGGAAAAATGAGGTTCCTAGGGCACAGCTTGTGTTCATTTGATCACAGTACTTCAAAATTCTAAATCCCTTAATTGATTTTTATGTTTCAAAATGAATTCATGCTCCAAATGTCTTACTTTTCAAATGTGAGACCCAGATGAGGTCAGAAATGTTTGTTCAAACCGTGTGCTGTGGCCATGGTAACTGAGAATCATGAGAATTGTGGAGACCAGATCTCTTGGTAACCATGGAAGCCCGTGGCAGACATGCAGCCTGAGTTACTGAGGAACGGGATGCCGCCTTGGGAGGAATGTTCTTCCTTTCGTTTGGAGCTGGTTCCTGAGAGCCAGCCTCAAAATGCTGCTCCAGTTCTGCCTGGGTGGTTAGATGGCCAGCTTTTTAAGGGACATTTGTTTGGCTGACTGTTTTTGAACAAGTATCAACACTGAAATAGCCTCTGGGGAGACAGATTTTTATAAAGCTACCCAGCCCTGTAGAATTCTGGGAACGTGGGAGTTATGGTCAAACAGATCCAGAGTTGCCTGGAACGAGTTCCCAGTGAATTGTGGCCATTTTGGGCTCTCATGAGAGAAGGGGGAATAGAGAGTTCCCAGTTTTGAGTTCATTAAGTTTCTCACTCCATCACTGGCTTATTGGTGCCTTAGGAAATACTAAGGCACTATGGATTCTGCTAAGCAAAACTATGGACCTGTCAGGATGGACCGTGTTTTGCTGTGGTAACAAACAACCCCCAATCTTCAGTGACTTACTGAGGGTTATTTCTTGCTTATTTGGCATGCCCACCATGGGCTTATTATGCGGGGCTCTGCTTATTGGATCCAGACTGATGAAGGAGCTGCCATTTTAGGACATCGTTATTCAAACACGGGCTCTAGGGTTTGCTGCAACAGAGCAGGAAAGATTGGCAGAACCATGCGTCACTGTTAAATTCTTCAACTCAGATGTGCCGCATATTGCTTGTCACATTTGATTGGCACAAAATATCACACAGCCACACAACTTCACCAAGACAGGGAAGTGTGGTCCTCCCATGTGCCCAGAAGGATAGGAGAACTGGGAATACTGATGAACACTAGCAATGCTCCAAAGCACCAGTGGCTACAGGCAGCTTGCCTGATAAAATGAAGTCTGGACTTCTCAGAACTGTCAGAAGAAATAGAAGCTTGAGAGGGAAACCTGGTGAGCAGGCCACTAGTCACAGTCTTTCTCTCCTCCCAGCACCCTAACTAGGCTTTGAACACAGCATATGCTTAAGCCAATAGGAATGCCACAGCCTTGTTGTATTGGTTCTTTCAAGGAAGTGGGGAGAAAATGTAGAGACAAAAGGTTCATATCTCCCCCTTAAAAAAATGTTTTCTGCACAAAGGCTCAAATCCCCAGAAGCTTGATCTTTGAGAAATTCCCTCTCATAAAGCCCTCTGACTGTTTCTAAGAGGTCTGCCTGCTGGCTGTACTTTCACAAGGATGGTCAACAGCCTTCTGGTCCCCCTATCTCTTTGTCAGGCCACCACAATGCTGCCCTCCAGAGGACTCTGTCTGCTGGGCACAGCTTTCTTTGGCTGTTGGTCCCCTCTGCTGTTTTCACCCCAACCTCAAGGGAGGGGACCCTACTCTCCCCTTTGATCCTCTGGCCCAAGGACAGCTTAGGCCCACCCACCCCTCAGTCCCTCACAGTACAGAAAAGCACTCCAGCTGAGATTTTTCCAAAGGTTAAGTAAATAGCCCCTTTGACTACTGCTGGATGTGGCTGTTGGCATAACCCCCAGACCCCAACCCCCATAGGGGCCCCTGTGGCTGGGCTGGTTTAACTCCCTCCCCAAGCACAAGCACTGGGAGTGCCTGGGCCTGCCTATGTGTCTGAGAGCAAACTCCCAGGGAGGACTTTTTCCTGTTACCCCGTCTCAGGCCCACCTTCCCAGCCCTACAGGGAACAGAGCTGGTCTTGTCCTCTGCAGTATTTCCTATACAATGGCACACACGGTCCCATACTGGGTTCTATTAGAGCCAAAGGGGCCAGTCCGCCTGCTTGCTTGCCAGTCCCTTCCACACCCCAGCTGCACTGTGCCTGAAAACTGCTGCTCAGAGCTCCAAAATAACAAACAGTTCTGGGGACACCAGGTAACCAAAAGTTGTATAGTCAAGTACCATGTGTCTCCAAAAAACTCCAACGTTTCTCCACTTATCAGAGCTGCAGCTCTGATAAAAAATATAACAATTCCTGCTCTTTTTAAAGTGTTACATGTATGATCAATATTTTTCTTAATCTTGAAAGATATTCCCTTTTTCTGTTATCAAACAGGACGCTTCACTTCTCCTTCTGAGACTCTGTTCAGGATTCCCTTCCAAGAGCGAATGATGTGCCCTGTCTTTCTATTTGCACCAGGTCCAGTGACTTCATAGAGCAGAAGACAGTCTTTCCTGGACATCCACTCAAGTCTCCCCTCCAAGGGGCAGAAACTGCTTATGATACTAAATAAATTTCCAGGTTCCAGAAGTCTGAGAGGTTCCGCTCCACCCTGTTCTCTCTGTTGGCCAGGGAGTGTTTCTGCACCTACTGGCTCTCCTGGGTGATATGGGCTGAGGGGCCTTGTATAGCCTGTGGCCAGTGTGGTCAAGAAAGGCCAAGGGCACCCTGGATGGTGTGTCTCAGTGGATTAAGCACCAGCCTG